GCAAGATATTCACCTATTTTGAGTGGCGTCCTGTCACTCCTGCGTAGTGGACGAACTAGGCTAGGACACAGGGATATGCAGACGATCTAACCATATTGGTTATGGTGAACGGGAAATTTAGTGGAGTGTTATGCAACAGGCTACAACTCGCACTAAATATACTGTTGAAGAATGGTGCAACAAAGAAGATCTCAGGGTAAATTCACAAAAAACTTCTGCAATTGCGTTCACACAAAAGAGGAATCTTCAAGACCTAAAATACCCCAAAATGTATGGACAAGAAATATAGAGAAGCGCTGTAGTCAAATACTTGGAAGTCACCATCGACCAAAAACTTACCTTTGCGCAACGCAGAAGTACCTAAACCAAAGCCTAAAAAGTATTATGGAATGCAAATGCATAATAAGAAAAACTTGGGAATTAAAACCTGGGGATGATGCATTGGCTTTACGCCACAATTGTGATACCTACAGTTACCTATGCATCGCTAGTATGGTGGCATAGGGCCAGTAGTATCAGCCAAAAACAAGCTATAGCCCAGGGTCGATCCAGTCGAACCATGAACAAATTAGAGAAAAGCTGAAATCTATATATATAAAAATGAATGCCACTTTTCGTTGTAATTTTATAATTCAAGAACGGACTCACCTAGCCAAACCAAATGTTTAGGCTTTTTTCGGACTATTTATTAGATGGTTTATGTGAAGTTTGCACAAAATCTGTCGAGCGGTTCTTCATTTATCACATTTTTTGTAATAAATTAATTATTCAATAAATGGAGCATCATTTTGCTGTCAAATTCAAACTTTTTTCAGCGTTGACAGTACCAGCATGTTGTTATGTCATTAATGTGGTCATTTCATTACTTATTTTATTTATTTATGAAAAAAATTTACTAAGCCTGCATACGGCGCCATGTCTTATAACCGATACCAAGTTTATTTTGTATTTTGTATACCGCGCCATCTCTGATACCTGGAACGAAGCTCGGCATTGCAGATACAGTAGAACAATGCTGCACAGAACTATTCCACTATTCCGATCAGATAGAGTGGTGCAGAAAGAGTAGGTCAGATAGAGTAGTGCAGATAGAGTAGAACAGATGGAGTAATGCAGTGCAGATAGAGTGAAATAGGGCTGCGCTAGAGATTTTTTTTGTTTTCTTTACATTCTTTGAACATTCCTGTGCCTGAGTTTATTTATTTGGTGGTACACTTTACAAGAATAATGCCCACAAGCTGCCTAAAAAAGGATGATGTAAAATTTTAATTTTAGGTGCCTTCTGATCCAGAGAGTAAACATTAATTTTCTTCAACCAAAGCCAAATTCACCATCGAAAAAAACTGAATTTAATTCAGCAAATAGATACGTTAACACAACATTTAATAGGTATATTTAATAATTCAGAGGCGGTACGAAGTTCGCCAGGTCAGCTAGTTTGGTATATATTGGGGTCCTTAAAATACCCCCATAATGTATTGTCAAAAAATCCGATTTTCACCCCGTTTAGGGGTTGTTTAGGGGGGACAGGACGGCCGATTACCTGTGGGGTTTGGTGGTTTAATAAGGACCCGAATACAAACCTATATACCAAAATTCAGCTTGTCCCCAAATTTTTCATGGTTTCCATTGACCTGTTGACCTCTAACCAATGATAGACATCACAACCTTGTCCTAATCAAAATCATAAATGTCCAGTGGTATTTACAAACAATATGTGCGCCATTGCCATATCGACAAAAAATAATAATATCGGCACGTAAATTAAAATTGTTATCGCAGTTGTTATGATTTTCTGAACAAGTTTGGATAACTAATACACTATTTTCTCTGATCATATTGTCTTTTTCGAATTTGGATATTTGAAAATCAGTGCGAAGATGTTTTTAGCTTGCTTATGGAGTGTAGCAAGGTCGCTCGTAAGCGATGTTGCCAAAACAAGATAAATAATTTTTCTCAAGATCTTATTCCTGATTGTTGGCGGAGTAATTTTATGGATGACTTGTGGTGTCTATCCTTGGTTAGAGGTCAATGATGGTTTCCTAGGTAAAGCTTCAGATCGACCCCAGGCTATTAGAAAGATACAGTGACTAGCATGTCAAGGCATAATAGGGGCCATGCGAACAACGCCCACTGTAGCCATGGAGCTCCCAGGACTTCCACCACTGCACCTCGTAGTGGAAACGGAGTCAGTGATACCATCATACAGATTAAAGATAAACAACCCGAAGTGGCAAGGAGGCAAACCTGTAGGACATTCCAAAATCTTCCTGTTAAGAGAGAGGGAATTCTCAGCAACACATATCCAGACAAGAAAACAACTACTTTTTACTTTAACAAACCCTTGAGAATTATAATTCCAGAAAGGGGAGGAGAGGGCAGGAAGAATGAGTTAAAAAACCGCAAAGGATCGGTCTGGTACACTGATGGGTCGAAGACGAAAACAAGAAGCACTGGAGCGGGGGTGTATGATGCAACAACTAGGGAGGGCGTTTTTATCAACCTGGGAGTGGACACGGCCGTTTTCCAAGCAGAAGTAATAGCAATTCCTACCCGTGTACAAATAATTTTAGAGAAAGGATATACGGACAAACACCATACATCCTAACTGATAGCCAGGCAGCACTTGATATTGATGATGATTGATTGTTTCTATACACTGAAACGCCTTGCACAACACAACAGAATTACCCTGGAATGGGTGCCTGGCCACGAAGAAATAGAGGAAAATAAAGCAGCTGATAGACGTGCCAAAAAAGGAGCGGAAGCGTCCCTAATCGGCCCTGAACCTACATGCGGACTTTCGTACCGGAGGGCACACAGAGTCATAGGCAAAAAACTAAATGAGCAACACCAAGAATATTGGATGCTCTCAGGGTTAAGACAATCGCGATTGTTCATTAGGGAGCCTAGCAGAAATAAACAGACGACACTACTGCAACTGAGCAGGAAAAACCTTGGTATCGCAACGGGGCTACTAACAGGACACTGCCGATTGAGGTATCACCTATAGATATTATGGGGCTAGAAGAGGACCCCTCATGCAGAGCATGCGCGAATGAGAAAGAAACTTCTCTACACATACTGTTCCAATGCCCGGCACTAAGTGGGAAAAGATTTTCACACTTCGAGGAAGCCTACCCGGAGTCCGAAGAGCGAATATACAGGCTTTCTTTATGAGTTTTCAGTATTCGCTACTGTCCATTGCCTCCCTAATCGCCTAATGGAAATCCTGCACAGACTTGATGGCGGCTTATTCAACCTGAACATAGATTACGAGCCAAGACGAAAAAATCGACATCGATAATTGAAGTTCAATGTGCGGATGATAACATCATGATGGCCAATAGAGAGAAAGATCTTTAGGCAGTTATCAATGCATTCGACCAGGCTTACAGGAGAATCGGCCTAGAGGTCAACTTTGACAAATACACGGATTCTGCGCCAACTCGCATTAATCCCTAAGCCCCAAATATAACTATAAATGACCATTCCTTGCAGAAAGTAGAACACTACCCATTGGGAGCCATCTGTCAGCGAATGCAATCATTGAAGCTGAAATCCAATATCGCTTGAAGTGTGCTAGCGCGGCGTTCGAGCGACTTCTAGAGAGGGTCTTACAATGCAGTTGTAATACCAACACTTACATATGGCTGCGAAACATGGACCACCTACACATAACAACATAGAAAAATACCACATAGCGCTGCTGAAGAATCCTACGGATTAAATGGCAGGACCGATGATGGACGAGCATTAGTGTGGAGGAGGCCATGAAAGCCCTTATCATTTCCCTGGACAGGTCACCTCGTCGACATGTCAACTAATAGGGGGAAATCGAAATCAAGGAGGTCAACAAAAATGCTACAAGGATGTTCTTAGGAAGAATATGGTAGAGTGCCGCATCGATACCAGCAACTGAGAGACGACGGCAAATGGTAGGCCCACATGGCGTCGAATAGTCCACAACGGATTACAAATTTTAGGAGAACAGCAACGCAGACACGAGACCGAAAAAAGGGACCGCAGGCAGGAGCGATGGAACAGAGTCAGCGACAATGCTGCCAAAGGCTCCAGAATTGGTTTATATGTAGCCATCAGAAAACGCACAATCGACGACAATACGAATGGAATACAAGATAATTATACTCGGTATCGAGTCATCGCCTGATGATGATGATGATAAAGTTTCGAAAACCTGAAACAGTCTAGTGACTCTCATCCTTTGATGGAGGAGTTGCAAATCAAACATCGTTCTGCTAAAATGCATAACAACGCAAATCCAGGCGAACATACCTAGCTCAGTCAGTGCAAGCACTGCCACGAAATTGATCAGCGTGAAAGTGATCTTGTTGAAAGTTTTCACTGAGTTCCGAACAACTTAGAAATGATCAAGTTAAACCATTTTTTAATTTCAAGAAAACCATCAATAGATCGCCAACACACTGGAGGAAGGAAAAATTAGAAGAGCGAATAAAGAAAAACCGAAGACTAGAAGATCGGTGACGGTCAATATTAGAACATGATGCATTGCATTCCCGCGATTATGAATACTACCAACATACTACGATTGCTAAGCATAACTAAGCTCCTATATCTAATGTGAGAACTATAAGTTTATTATTATATTATTATAGATATTAAATAGAAACTTTGTTACAATTCCAGTCAAACAAGAGACGTCCATGTCTACATACTCCACCATCAGAAAGTCAGTCCAAACAATAAATGTTTACAATAACGTGGGCCATGTGTTGGTGCTTAAACTTCATAAATAACTCCGAAAATCGCTTAAAAAGCTCGAAAATTTAAACGGAACCGCCCTCGTAAATCGGGCAATTGTGTATAAGATCCGAGTGTAATTATTTCATTGGGTGTAGCCAATTTGGTGGAAAATTCGTGTAAACATTTCGAGAGGTTAATGTTTTGTTATCGAGAAAAAATCGAGTTTATTTGAAGCAATCATGGTAATAGTTATTTTATCGATTGTTTTTCGTTACCTTTTGCTCCGCAATTGTTTGGAGTCGATCTAGATGGCGTGCGTTGTCTTTGTTGTGAGCTTGATGAGGGACTAGGAACTTCTGGCGTACTGAAACAAAATTATAGTTATTTTTAGGCTAATTTGAAATGAGGATATAAAAAACCTAATTAAGTATGTTTTTTGGATAGACCCTTCACACATTTTTCCACTAAAAAAGCAATTTTCACGTCGGTTCTAATCAGCCTAAAAAATCAAGAACGTAATTCGAAACAGCGCCAGCGTGCACCGTCTAATTGCAAAAGCTCTCCGGGTCGTAAAATCAAATCGTAAACTTCGCGGCTCTTTCTAATATTTTCACTTAATTTGATCATAAACACCGGGAAAATGAACTTATGCGACAAATTTAAGCCCAAACGTCCTACTAAATCTGGCGGAACATCGGGTCGCAAGAATATTGTGGCAAACAAACGTCATGTTGCCTTCAGGCTTCCTTTACGGAGTGTGCATAGTTATTTTTGGATACATACATTATTGGCGCCCTTTGGTTAAATTGCTCTATACTGGAATTATTTTTCTATGATTATTCTATTGCAATATCGCATCAATAATATATAGCTTATTTTATCACCAGGTATATTAGTTTTTTGCATTCTTCCTGAATAGCTTTATTTCTCCATTCTTGGATACCTACCATTTGCCTTCTTTATACACTGCTCAACAATCGAACTGGATAATTGCAAATATACTAAAATCCTCATTTAAACAAATAGATAATAAAAAGGTGTTTTATATCATCAATAAACAGTTAATTGATTATCAATAAACTGATTATTGATAATATAAAACACGTTTTTATTTTCTATTTTTTTAAATGAGGATTTTAGTATATTTGCAATTATCCAGTTCGATTGTTGAGCAGTGTATATTTCAACAGCAGTTCTTGAATCCATTGATCCACATCCATTTCATATAACAAACTCTTTGTCTTGCATTCCAATCTCATTTTATTGCGTTTTGCATGTAAAAATTGTTGTTGATCATGACTGGTGTTCACAGCTGCTACTCTGCTGTCATTCCTTCTCATCTGTTCGTCAGATTTGGTTCTGGTAGGTGATCTTCTGGTTACCGTATTCTTGATCTGTGCGTCTCTTTACTCAGTTGTCATGAACTCTCCTGTTTGTTTTCTGATCACCCTGACTGAGTTGTTATTGTCCATTTTGAGAATCCGGTCAATAGGTGCGGTTTCCCAAGTAGATTCTATTTCCACGCAAAAGATTAGCCGTCCTTAGGGCCTTGTTATATTCAAGAAAAGCAGTCCCAATCACCAGTGAATTTCGCCCTGTTAAATATAGTTTCCTGGTGTTGGTCCTCAGGTTAGTTGAGTGATTGTTCCACCATGTTACTTTCTTCTGTCTACAGTCTATCTACCTTCACTTTCACTTAGATCTATGTTTATTCTTATTGATATTTTTGAGATTGAACTTACAGCCATTCTACTATTTTCAAAACTTAGAGGTAAGAAAAAAACGATTATTGCATCTCATTCATTATGTGTTCTTGGCGATTTAATTGCAGATCAAAATCTATTTTCGTAACTGCCAAGCCAGCGTGAATTAATAACCCTTAGGTATTCAAGTAACATCTATCTTTTCCCGTCTCGAGACGGTCCCCCTCTTTTACAAATGATTCCCTTTGGGAAACCGTTTATTACAGCATTTTTCGAATACAGTTTTGTCCTAATTGTCACTCATTAGATATATGACTTTCGAAAAGCTAATTCTTGTCTATATAAAAATGCACATGCATATACATTTTGATTTCTTTTGTCCTTTGTAATATAAGTTTATTGTTCACAACAAAAACTTAATTAATGTTTGTGTAAATATTGCGTTAATTATGATTTGATATCACGTATAATCAGATTTTGAAGATCAATATGCTGTCTCAATTTCGCCATATTATTGAAAGGATTTAATACTCTATTTGAATAATAATTTTAACAATTTGAAGATTTGTTTTTACTAAATTCAATTCGAAATATCCATAAGTCATTATTATTGCTGTTTTCTCAAATGAAAAGTAATTAAAACGCAGATATATCAAATTGCACGTCAACAAGTAATCTCCCTTTGTCAAGCACTTTATTGTGTTTGTTGTGTGATAAAGGATTTTTACCAGGAAAATGAAAAAATATGAAAATTTTTGAAAAAAAATCAGAATGTGACTATTTTATTTTCAATATTTACTTTCTTTGTTACGAAAACCCAAAAACAATTAATTAACCCCCAAAACACACCAAAGAGTAAAAAATACTGTATTATTTATTTAAATTATATTTTTTGCAGAACCAAGAATAACTAATTTGAAGAAAAAGTTCGCCTACCAAGAATGGAAGGAAAGGACCAAAGATTAATCAATTGGTTTAAACAAAGCGATGGTTATCTTCCATTTTGTGGACAACAGGTTTTGAGGTAAGCTGTATTATCACATAACTTATTTTGAGTTGTTGAACTACATTTAATCACTAGTGATGTAACTTTACCCAAACATTTTCATATTTCGATTATAATGAATTTTTGTACATCACACGTACCTACTTCAGTTCAGAGCATAATTACAACATTTGTGAGATTACCTCGCCATGGTAATACTTATTCTTCACACGAAGTTGTTATTATGCACTTGTAATGTAAATGTAAATAACTATTATGGAAATACTTGTTTATAACAATATACTCTTAACGGCATAATAAGTGCATTGGTAAACATTTAAGTTTAGCAAATTTTAAAATAAAATGAGAATCTAAGAAAAATACAAATAATAGAAATTTATTTAAAAAACACATGTTTATCATAGTAGTCAGTGAGAACTAGGGTAATATGATAACTACGCGTTTGATAAATTTGATTGTTAGCTTAGTTCCCGTATCGTATCTTATGTGTTTCAATTAGTGGGTGTGCTGATCAGCGGCGTAACACAAAAACATGTTTAAAATTTACGATTACATGTTTTTATACCTATCCTGTAGTTAGGTATTTACGAATTATGTCCAAATAAATGCGTGTTTTGCAAATAAAAGTTGACATGGTTTGGAATTTGGAAATCAAATAACTATTAAAGTTTTTCCATATGACATCGCTTCAGTCTCATGATTATACATAGAAACCAATAACAAGAAATTTACCATGAATGGGAAATGGACTACTTACAAACAATGGTGGACAAGATGACCTGAACGTGACAAATTTGAGGTGCATGGCAAAATGAAACTTTGAAAAGAACGCCTCAAAACCTATACAACTACCAAATTTCAAAATGTTCGGAAATTTTCCCAGGTTTTTTAACTTCGTAATTCATACACCGAGCCTCAAGAGTATACCAAGTGTGGAACAGTTCCACACCTAATGAAGTTGGAAAATTAATTGCTTCGATAAATAATGGAAAAGCAGTATAGGTCTAAATAATAAATAATGATATTCAATCGAAGTTTTTTTAATTCGGCGAATACGAAATGGCTTATAAAGGTTCTCGATCTACAATTCAAACTAACCCAAGCTACAAAATCAATGGCTCATGTCATCATTCATCACCTTAAACCTTGTTGACTAGCTAGAAAGAAATACATAGGTACCTACTCCGAGAGAAATACTCCTTCTGAAATGAAGTTAATCAAATGTTGCTGGACGTCATGGAAAATAGGGAAGACAAGGAAAGGAAGCTCTAAGATAGTAAAAAAGACAAGAAGAAGAAGCCTGAAGACTTTAAAAAAAGGAGAGAAGGCTCGAAGATAGATCGCTTAATCGGCTTTTAAAAATGAAGTAACTAGGACAGGTAGCAAGATGGTTCGAGAAGTTGTAACTGTACATCGTTCTGGAAAACTGTATAACAACACCTTTTCCAGACGACCCCGCTCCAATTTAATGCAAGATTTGTCTCAGAATTGATCAGCGTGAAGAAGTTCTTGTTGAATACCTACGATTTGAAACGGATCAAGAATCAAATTCCGAACAGCTCAGAAGTGACCATTTAGAAAATAGTAACTTAAATAAAATTGGCAAATTCAGACCAACGTTGAACGAAATTTCACTTAAACGAATTTGTGAGTGCATATGGTGTAGTGGCTATTTTTTTAGTTCCCACGACGAAGAAGAACCACAGATGAGATGCTTACGAGTATAACGAAGAATCACAAATCATGGTGAAGAAGTAGACAAAGTATAGGTATAACGCACTAGGAGGCTTATTATGTAACGCGTAACAACGTCGTTATTCAACAATTATCGTTAGCTAACGACTTTTTCGATTCAGTAACTTTCGGTTGTCGTTATTGTAACGATAAAATGGACGCAAAAGCGTCGTTAGATTACGACAGCCCAGTGGCCCTCGTTAGAAGCATAACGATCGTTACAGTTGCGTACTGGTAGTGTACTAACGAGGAGAAAAAAGGGGGAAGAGCACGGCAGAGAAACCCTCGATCTAACATTCCTCAAAAATCAAAACATACTGTGTCATATTAATGATAATTGTGAGTCATTTATTCAATAATTTAAGTCAATGATTCAATAATTCAATAAAAATTTAAATTAGGTACCTACCATCTTTTGTCTTGGTGCCATAATTTTAATTCCACACACAACATTCAATCAAGACTACCTATAGTCAATATTGAAGAGTTTTTGGCTAGTTAGCCAGTTTCTCAGCAGGTACTGAGGTCCCATACGGGATGCTACCCAGCTATAGTTGATATTTTGAGCCAATATCTCTTTCCTTTGGTAGGATATTCGCTCGTCAGGGTAGGAAAATGTTAGTAAATTCAACAAGGCCCTCTAATGCACGCTCTGAATCCACAAAATCAAAATCCCAGCACAAGAGACAGCCCATAATTTTACTTTTTATCGGTGTTGTTTACAGCATGAAACGATTTTTGTTAAATACATGAACAATGCACATGTTATAAACAAACAAAAAACATAAAAATGAAAAAAATTATACTTGTATAAATAATTGAACTCTCAAATACAAAATAAAAATAAAAATTGAATAATGAACAATGGCGGACAAACGTCTCAAGGGACCAGCCCAGAGCCCCGCTTCGTCTCTAGTCTAGTCGCTTATTTCTTCTGTCTCCCGTTCGCAGTACCGTAAAAATCTGGGAAAGAACAAATTTTAAACCTGTATACAAAACATCATCAAATTACGGAAGACCCAGAAGACATGATTTCAACAAAAGTTCTTAATCAGAGGTCGGAAGAGATCCCACACATAACGACAGAAGTACACTAACACTACACCCTTAGGAAGATGAAAAAACACCATAGAGGACGGAAGCTTATAGACCCATCAATACAAAAACTCTTCAATCTCTTTCTACACACTCAAGAAATTCCTGAGAAATAGGACAACGCCTGATTATCCTTAACGAAAAAGGAGATATAACCGACCTCGAAAATTTGACCCAAAAACAAACTAAGGAAAGGTTTTGTTTGATTCCAAGCGTCATTGTTGTTTTCTTGTTAAATGCTACTTTGAATAGATATCGATGGAAAAGAAGGGAAATAATGCATAAAAAGTCTAGAAAATGGATCTTGACAATACCTATTTTTCACCATAGTTGAAGGTAAAAAGCTAGAGAGAGCACTTTTAGGATAAATTTGGACTTTTTTGTGATTTTTAAAGCAATTTTGAACCAAAAATATGTCAACGAAAGGATTTTTATGACAACTAGCTTCAATTCCTTCAATTGGATGGATTTTTATGCAAATTTTGAACCAAACACGCCTACTTTAGATAGATTTTGAGTGGGAAAAAGTGAAATAATCAGATCATCTACAGGGTGAGTCTGAAATAACTACGCATTTTGTTATGATAGATAGATTAGATTAGATTAGATTAATATTGGGGTGTTGTCTAATCTAATCTAATCACCTTATCTATCAAATAGCATTGAAAGGTGATAAATTTTACCTGTACCTGTGGACATCGGATTGTGAATGGGTAATAAGCCAGATTGGGTTAGTTTGGGTTAGTTTTGGCAGCGCATTTTGCAAGATACGGTTTTTTGAAGGAATGGCCCATAAAAATATGGGAATGGGGGAACTATTTAGGAGAATAAGGTAATTTTAAATAGGTAGGTACAGGGTGTTTTTTTTTATATATTGACACCCCACCTACAGCCTTTACCTTTATAGGTAAAAGAAAGGTGTAAATACAAAAGTTGTACAGTTTTGGCTGAATTTTTAGAAACCATGGTCAGAAACAAAATTTGAAATTTTGCATGGTTCCAGCTTTTTGCAAATGGGATGCCCTATTCTATATTCTTGAAGAGCACAATGCCCCGTTTCCAAAAATATATAATGTGTCTATATTTGATTGAACAGTCTCTCATATAATCGGTTCCAAAAATTGTAAAAATACTATCCTACTACTGATTTTGTGAACCATTCTACCTATACAGGTGAAACCTGCAGGTAAAATTTAAGGTATCCGTTCACAATCCGATGTCCACAGTACAGGTAAAATCACCTTTCAATGCTATTTGATAGGGAAAGTTGATACATTTACCTGCACCTGTGGACATCGGATTGTGAACAGGATATAATATGAACTTGGTTTCTCTGATAGTATTTTTAAAATTTTTAGAACCAAATATGTAGGAGACGGCTCAACCAAATATGGACAAACTATATGGTTTAGGAATCCGGAAATTATGCTCTTCAAGAATAGAACCAAATATAGGGCATCCCATTTGACATTTCTGACATTCAATTTTTGTTTCTGACCGTGGATTCTAAAAATTTAGCGAATATTGTAAATCTTTTGTATTTACACCTTTCATCTACTTGTAAAGGTGAAGGCTGTAGGTGGGGTGTCAATATATAAAAAAAGCACCCTGTACTTGCACAATAACTTATTAAATAGAGTCAGAATTTGTAAGATTATCCACTTTTTGTCAATTTGCCTTTTAACAGGAATTAGTAATGTTATTTTACCAAACTAGTAATATAATGTGACAAGTTATTCAAGTACAAATGAGTGAATTGTTACGGAACTTATGGGTGGACCTCTGCGGGACGAGCGCAGCGAGTTCCGCAGCCATCTATTCATCAATATGTTGTTTAATTACGATACTAAATTGACTCACTCAAATGTGCGTTATTCTCATTAGTTTAAAAATTACACGTTTCAGGTGAATGTCTTACTTGAACAGTTCAACAGTATATTGGTGATTAGATGGCTGCGGAACTCGCTGCGCTCGTCCCGCAGAGGTCCACCCATTTGTACTTGAACAATAACTTATTATATAAAGTCAGAATTTGTAAGATTATCCACTTTTTGTCAATTGGCCTTTTAACAGGAATTAGTAATGTTATTTTAGCAAACTAGTAATATATTGTGCAAAGTTATTCAAGTACAAACGAGTGGATTGTTGCGGAACTTATGGGTGGACCCACCCATTTATTCACCAATATGTTGTTCAAGTACAATACTAACCTGATTCACTCAGTTGAGAATTTTGCTCATTAGTTCAAAAACTACACGTTTCAGGTAAGTGTCTTATTTTAACAGAACAGTATATTGGTGAGTAGATGGCTGCGGAACTCGCTGCGCTCGTTTCGCAGAGGTCCACCCATAAGTTACGCAATAATCCACTTATTTGTACAGAGTGTTTTTTTATATATTGACACCTCACCTACAGCCTTTACCTTCACAGGTGGAAGAAAGGTGTAAATACAAAAGTTGTACAGTTTTGGTTGAATTTTTAGAAACCATAGTCAGAAACAAAGTTTGAATGTCAAAAATGTGAAATTTTGCATGCTTCCAGCTTTTTTCAAATGGGATGCCCTATATTTCAATCTCTCATATATTTGGCTCCAAAAATTGTAAAAATACTATCCTACTACTGATTTTGTGAACCATTCTACCTGTACAGGTGAAAGCTGCAGGTAAAATTTGAGGTATTTGGTTTCTCTGATAGTATTTTTAAAATTTTTAGAACCAAATATGTTGGAGACGGCTCAACCAAATATAGACAAACTATATAGTTTAGGAATCGGGAAATTTCTTGAAGAATATAGAACCAAATACATATAGCGTATCCCATTTGAAAAAAGCTGAAAGCATGCAATATTTCATATTTCTGACATTCAATTTTTGTTTTTGACTATGGATTTTAAAAAATTAACCAATACTGTATGTTGTATTTACATCTTCATTTACCTATAAAGGTAAATAGACTGTAGATGGGATGTCAATACATAAAAAAACACCCTGTACATAATCTTACCGATTTAGTAAATATGAATATTTATTTATTAGAACAAAAAAAAAAAAAACAATACATCAATTCAACCTCTAATGATATACTGTTTAAAGTTAAAGTTCTTGGGACAAAGACACAAGTGTGATTTTTTTATAGGTTTTTAGCTACCCCCCACTGAATCCGCCACTGCGTTAAGAAAATACAGTGTTGAAATTTTCGGAAAATTTTGACTTTTTACCTTTAGATCCAAAATGCCCTGAGCGATTTTGTTCAAATTTTCAGAGAGTATTTGCGATGTTCTCGAGCATCTTTCTTAAAAATCCTTTTGAGTTCCACTTTTCCAGGATCTGACCTAGAGCGACTCTTATTTTTTTTAAAGAAAAAAGTGGTACGCCGCTGGGTTTTTTTGACAAATAAAAAATTAGTTTGTGATTGCTTGTTTAATTTTAAACAGAAAAGGTATCCCGAGTTTTTCTTGTTCGATGCGACGTTTACGAGATAAAAAATAAAAATCAATGTATTGTTTGGATAATCTCGTTGTTCGATACACTCCACTCTGGTAAAAAAATAAGAGCCGCTCTAGGTTCGGTTCTGGAAACGTAGAACTCAAACCGATTTTTCTGAAATATGCTTGAGAACATCGCGAACACTCTCTGAAAATTTGAACAAAATCGCCCAAGGCAAAAAGTCAAAAATTTCAACACTCTGTATTTTCTTAACGAGGCGTTTGCGGACACATGAACCTATACAAAAAGTGATTGTCCTACTGTACTCTATCTATGATAACAAAATCCGCACTTATTTCGGACTCACCCTGTATACAAATTGTATACACGTGAGGTACTTAGAAAAAAAATGGACAGGAAATTAGACTTTTACCAACCCCGAGAGCAGGCTGGATTCCGTTCAGGGAAGATGATTTACAACACATACATATTATAATTAATTAGTTCCTTATTAGGAAGATAAGCAATAAGTGATCAATGGCTACGAAATTGCTAATCTATAATAATATAGCAACTCCACACCTTGAATTTTGTTCCACTCTCTTGTTCAATTTGCCTAATTTTAGTGAAGTAATTTAAAGATATACATAGTTATAATACCAGAAACTGCAATGACTTTGTATTGTCACCAGATAAGTATTGTACCACTCAAATGCTCAACTCAGCTCTAATATAGAGGTTTACATGATATCAATATGTTGCCTAATAATATAAAAGACTGTGATAACCTGAAAGTGTTCGAAAAATCAGAGATCATGTATTGTGAGATTTGTTTTATATCGTTCATATTGTCTCTTTTATTTTTATTTTTATATTTATTTATGTTACAAATGTGTTAACTTATATTTAGGAAATATTTTATTGATTCGTTTTTGTATTTAGCATATTTGCTCAATAAAGATTATTATTTATTTATTAATTTATTTATATATCTGATAACGCCTTCGGATGTTTTTTTTTTTGGTTTTTACTCATCTAATGCTATACACATGTGACACTTTGAATAACATTTTGATTTGAAATAACAAATAAATAATCTCCTGAGTTTTATTCTAAAAATTTTATTGCAGGTATACTTAAATCTCCGAGAAAGTAATCTACACCACTGGTTTTAATAACCCGCATAACAAATATAACCTTCACCGATAGTGTCAATTTATTTTCACTCCAGTTGGTACGGCGAGCCCTCCACTTATCGCAGAAGAGAAAAACGCTCGCGACACATCTCGGAAAAAAAAAACCGAACGATTAGAAGTAGGTACCAAAAATTGATTAATCATTTCTTATCTTAAAAATAAATAATCTCTTATATCAAAACTTTCAATTTCTCGAAACCTTCTTGTGTGCGTTGCCCGGATTTTAGTCAGTCAGTTACCGAACTTTCACCGTGCATCGTGTTACGAATGTAATGTGGTACCAGTGACCGAGCTAAACGTCATCAAATAAACCTAATAACCACAAAATGGCTAGTGAAATAGTTGGAGGTTTGGAGGGTGGTGCTTCAAATTCAACAGCAATACTTCTAAATCCACAAGGTCAAGTGATTGCTACAGCAAAAGGCACAGGAACTAACCATCATCTAATTGGCAAGCAAGAATGTTTTAAAAAAATTGAAAATTTATTTAATCAAGCTAAGAAACAAGCTGGAATACTTTTGGACACCCCCATAGCAGCTATTGGATTATCTTTGAGTGGTTGCGAAGAGGAAGAATCAAATCAAGAGTTTATGAGAGAATTAGCTAAAGCTTATCCTAATTTAGCTCAGCAATATGCCATAGGCTCTGATACTAATGGTTCAATTGCTACTATAAGCAATAACGGTGGCATCGTTTGCATAGCTGGAACAGGTTCTAACACTCTTTTAATTAATCCTAACGGTGAAAGAGCGCAATGTGGAGGCTGGGGCTCTGTGCTTGGAGATGAAGGTAGTGCCTGGGACATAGCTAGAAAAGCTATTAAATATTGTTTCGATGATTTAGATAATTTCGAGCCAGCACCTTATTCTATAGACAATCTATGGAACTTGGTACAAAAATTCTTCAACATCAAACAACAAACAGGAATTTTAGATTATATTTATAAAGACTTTGACAAGTCGCGTATAGCGCTGATGTGTAAAAGTGTTGCTGATTTGGCTAGAGAGGGTGACGCTTTATCCAGCCACATCTTTCAGCAGGCTGGAAGAGATTTGGCTAAAAGTATAGCAGCTGTAGCAGGCAAAGCTTCCAAAGAACTTACCAACAGAGATGGTGGATTACATGTTATTTGTGTTGGCTCGGTTTGGTTAAGTTGGGACTTATTACAGTGCGGATTTACTTCGTTTTTACAAAAAAATACTTCCATGAAAAAGTTAACTTTGCTACGTCTTAAAACTGAAATGGGAGTTGGAGCGGCTTATATGGCAGCCGATAGATTGAATTTGAAGTTGGAAAGGGACTATTCTAAAAATTATCAAGTTTTTTCTGTGTATAATCGGGCGAAAATGTGTAACGGCGTTGGCCTTTAGGAATGGCCTCCAAATTAGATTTTTTTCAAGAGTTAATTAATTGCGACTGTCCAAGTAAACTTGTATTGATTTATTTTAGTTTTATGTCATCAATTTTTTAGTTGGAATGTTTCTTTGTAGGTAATCCAGTGTATTGTATTTATAATTTATTCAAGTAACAAATTTCAATTATTGATTCGATTTCTTCCACAATTACTTATTAGGCTTGGTAAAATTACACAGTGGTCCTTCAATAAATGTGCAGAAATGGTAACTTAAATAGAAAGCAGTATTTTAATGCTTCATAACCATAAGGTACCTTCATGATTTTATATATGTTTAGATTAGAATATGGTTTTGTAAAAGGACTTAGTACAGTTCCTATTGAAATTGTTCTATTTTTTTTGGATACATTTTAAATAAAGTATTAAACGTTTCACCCTAATCAGAGACAGATTTTAAACAAATGAGAATAATTGATGTTCTCACAATACCATTAATAAATACATAATCATATTCCATCAAAATTTACTCAAATTATTGTAGGTCCATGCCTATTTTTTGGTCACAATATCTGTTTGCCTTAACCTGATTTTTCCAAAAAAAAAATGTATTAATTTTTTCAAATGTCATTATTTGTATTTATTGATAATATTTATAAGTTATCATAAGTATTTCAAAGTCAAAGTTTATTGTACCATACCGCGATAAATCATACTATACCTCTGAATAAACACTAATTATTGTTGTTTTTTTTTTTGTTGTAAAATGCTTTAAATTTTCCCTGTTTTTAAATTGTGTTTTTTTACATATTATAGCAGGTCTTATCGTTGGCTTATTGATATCATTGACTAGAAAAACTAATTATTATGTGTGTCTATGTAAAAAAAAAAAATATATTCATTATGTTTTTTACCTAATTTTGTTGTTTTTTTTTTCTTCTTATTTATAATCCTATACTAAATACCTACCTTCCAACCCATGCGAAAAAGTTGCAAACTTAAAATAACAGTTTTCAAAAATTTGAATAACCTTTTCAAGTTTCTCTGAGAAATTATTGTTGACTGTTTTTAAATATTCAATTCAATGTCTGACGTAAGTAACCTAATAATAACTTTTTAATATGTTATTAAATTGTGTTTTCATAAACCTTATTACATAAATTGGAAAAGTTTACACTATAAACTAAAAAGTAAATTTTGAAGTATATTTTTCCACACTTTTACAAAATTTACACAAAGTATTATAGAGTCCTATAACTAGCAAACCAATCAAAATATCCATTAAAATTCATTTTACGACATCCTAAACTCAACGTTTTATAACCCGCAGGTTTTTATTGAATATTTTCTCAAGCCGATTGCGTTATCACTCGTAAATTTGTTAAAGTTAAAAGCTGCTTTTGGCTTTTAATAAACTTTTTTTTGGAAAAACACACAAATTAGTCCGGGAATCGTTTCAAAATTCCTGGGGCAATTTTAAACTACAATCGGACGATGATTGATTTTATTTATGAAATGTTATGTGTTTGATAAAGTGACAAATTGTTGCATTAAGGCCCGGTTTATTGATCCTCAGATAAACTTACTACCAACTGTCTACAAGATAAATTCACCCAATCTATAATTTTTTTGGTCGGCGGATAACTGACCTACCAATGGAATTAGATTGCCTCTTTATCCGTCAGATGACAGTTTATCAGGATCTGAATAAACTGGGCCTGAGAAAATCTATTATTGAGACCTTTAACTTTTACATTATTTAGTTATTAACAAAAATTACTCAAAAAGGACGATATAAATTTTCTTCGCAATTTTGGTATTTGTTATACAGTGGTGTTTTCTAATTGAATGTCAATTTTTAATGGGCAATTTTTTGATTCCATTTTAAGAAAAATGCTTCATTATGAAAGCTGAATTTACTAATGCCAGTTTTTGGTCAGTTGATTACAGTATTTACGTACATAAACATACCTCGGTCAGTCAAGCGAAACTTGGGACAAGGACCTACGGTGTCTGGTTAAAGTTGTCCGGTAGCTTAGGTATAATGAAACGAATTTACCAGTGGCGTGTTTACCATGTAAGCTAGGGAAGCACAGCTTCCCATCGAGGATTTATTAAGAACACTAAACTAAATTTTATGTAGACATTTTCAAAAAGAAATATATGAAACTTGTGAATGGCTGACTGGCTCTGAAATTATAAGTCTCTCCTGTCCTGTACTTTCACCATCTTTCCCCACAGCTTCCCCGTCTATTAAAGTCTGGACACGTCACTGAAATTCACTAAGGCTGAAAATCGCTATACATATTATATACAGAGTGGCAAAAAAGTCGCGCATAATACCTGTAACTTTTTAATTACCTCGTATATGAAAAAGTGACCTTAAGGAAAAATGCTCAGTAAATTATTTCCCACATTTCTACCTAGACAATTTGTTTCTGTCACTTCTGGTTTGTTTGCTATCCAGACCAACTTTGTTTTTTGAAATGGAACACCCTGTATGTGATTGCATATTTGGATTCTGCGTAAAATTCTGAGCAGATTTCATGCGATATACCCTATATCTAAGTTCAACTGTTTTGGAAATATTGACAGTTGAAAATTAACTTTCTTACAACTTTGATAGCGTGCAAAACCTAAATGGCTAATTTTAGAGGAAAATCGATTTCACATTCCTATCTTAGATTTTCATAAACTATCAGTTGACACCAACTTTGAATTTAATCAGAGATTAAATTGATAGTTTATGGAGATCCAAGATAGGAATGTTAAATCGGTTTTCGTCTAAAATTAACCGTTTAGGTTTTACAGCCTGTCAAAGTTTCAAAAAGTCAATTTTCTATTGTCAATATTTCCAAAACAGTTGAACTTAGGTATAGGGTATATCACATGAAATCTGCTCAGAATTTCTTGTGGAATCCAAATATGCAATCACATACAGGATATTATATTTGAAAAAACAAAATTGGTCTAGATAGCAAACAAACCAGAAGTAACACAGGCAATACGTCTAGGTGGAATTGTTGGAAATAATTTACTGAGCAACTTTCATTAGGGTCACTTTTTCGCATACGAGGTAATTAAAAAGTTACAGGTATTATGCGCGACTTTTTTGCCACTCTGTATAACATATAAATAACAGTGATGTTTGTCAGTCAGCTGAATAGCGGAACTGGGCCGGTCATTCAGCCCCAATTTATGTAAAAAAAATAATAGTAGTAAGTACTAGTAAATATGCTTTATTGTCCAAGAATACAAAAATCTTATTGACAAAGCTAATAGGTCTATTTTTTTTTTTTTAGAGTGACAGCGTGACAGTGACAATTCAAAATTGTAGGTTGAAGTATAAATTAATAGGTTTGTTCAGTAATATTAATATTTTTTGCAGATTTTTACATTTATTGGAGGTGACTGACCAGCACGGTCCCGCTATTCAACTGACTGACTAACACTACTGTTATTTATATGTTATATATAATATGTATAAGGATTTTCAGCTTTAGTAAATTCGTTGCATTACCCAAGTTATCTCGACCCCTTTAACAAGACACCCTGGGTCCTTGTCCCAAGCTTCGCTTGACTGACCGCGGTATGTTTATGTACGTAAATACTGTAATCAACTGTCCAAAAACTAGCTTTAGTAAATTCAGACAATTTTTTCGGCGCTGGCTCTTAGACTACTAGAAGTCTTAACTTTTGAGATACAGGGTGATAAAGGTTTCAAAAATTATCATTTATTATTATCTAATATCTGACACACCACTTTAGACATTCTAATAAAATTTTGCATACTTGTACAAATGCCTAATCGATCGCCTAGGGATGAAAATTCGAACAAAACCCAAGAAAAAGTCGAAAACCGGACTACAATAACGAGTTATTGGAAGACAAGAGCGCTGAAGATGTTCTGAATTTATAACAGTTTCTCCTTCAGAGCAAGAACTGAGAGAACCAGAACAATCGTAGAATTCTTCTTATGTAGTTCTAAATAAACCAAAACGCTGTCAATACAGTTCGATAACGAAACATAGTATACATAGTATAGTATATTCTTCAACGAGCATATTATAATGATCGCTATTATTCATGAAAATGACAATTCAAACACGAGCCGAAGCCGAGTGTTGGAATCATTCGAGTGAATAATGGCCATTACTTGCGAGTAGAAGACTATACTTTCTCTTCTAACATTAAATAATACATTCATTCTTGCTCCATATTAAACTGATTAATGATACGAATTCTACACGCCCTGTGGATTCCAAACCGTAATCCACGGAAGGTACTCTGAAGCTAAGAACCATATGTTCCTCGGTTTTGAGAATAAGGACCCAGGGCTGGAACTCTGTAACGGATAGAGATCGTTATCCCTATCGCTATTGTAGTTGCCATCTTCTCCTCTCTTGTCGAAATCAATAGAAAGGAGACGTCAATAGAGATAGAGAAAATATCATCTCTATTCGTTACAGAGTTCCAGCCCAGAGACCTTATTCCTTATTCCTTCCTTATTGGGATAAACGTTCAAACTTGAAAAATAGGTAGGCAACTGGAAATTACTGATTCTCGAACGGTTCTCATGCATTGTATTCTCTTTATCTTTTTCGTCAATGCCCACCTCCAGTATCCGCTTCTTAAGTTTTATTCGAAAAGCATACAAGAATTTCCAAATATTACCTACAGTCGTGAGCATAAAAAGTGGGACACCCGACTGACAGGTCTTGTCATTTTTCGCTATTTTGGGTAAATCAGTCTTTTCTCTACAATGGATTTTTTGTCAAATATGACAATCCCTGTCATTGCCGTAGGTATAGCTGATGAGCTTGTTTTACAATAGGAAAAAACGGATGTCCCACTTTTTATGCTCACGACTGTACTTCATTAAGGCTAATTCGGATTTTGCTCTAGTTTGATTTCCAGACTCTTGGGGTGATATTTTTGAAAATCCTGATCCTGAAGGTAAGCTCTAAAACATAATCCAAGTAGACAAGGCATGATTTCCACGTAAGTCCTCGTGGTTCGATTTCCATAAACCTCTCAAAAGTAGCGGGGGCGTTACAGAGTCCAAAAGGCATTAGCTTTGTCCCAACCGATATGAGAACCGTTCTAGAACGGTAATTTGCATTCGATCAATTTATTCATCAATTAGGATAGACGTGCTTGCCTATAGAAAAATAATTAGGCAACTAGAAATTACTGGTTCTGGAACGGTTCTCATTTCAGTTGGAACAGAGCTATTATCTTGAATTGGCAGTGGAGAGCGCTGTCTTCTCTTTGTCTTTTTCGTCAACACCCACCTGCCAGTATCCGCTTCTTAAGTTTTATTCGAAAGGCATGCAAGAAGTTCCAAATATGACTTACTTCATTAAGGCTAATTTGGATTTTGCTCTAGTTGGATTCCCTGGCTCTTAGGGTGATATTTTTGAAAATCCTGATCCTGAAGTTGAGCTCTAAAACATCATCCAAGTAGACAAGGCATAATTTCCACGTAAGTCCTCGTGGTTCGATTTCCATAAACCTCTCAAAAGTAGCGGGGGCGTTACAGAGTCCAAAAGGTATTAGCTCTGTTCCAACCGACATGAGAACCGTTTTAGAACGGTAATTTTCATTCGATCAATTTATTTGTCAAATAGAATAAACGTTCAAACTTATTGAAAAATAGGTAGGCAACTGGAAATTACTGGTTTTGGAACGGTTCACATCTCAGTTGGAACAGAGCTATTATCTTGAATTGGCAAAGAGCACTTCCAGTGGAGAGCGCTGTCTTCTCTTTGTCTTTTTCGTCAATGCCCACTTCCCAGTATCTGCTTCTTAAGTTTTATTCGAAAGGCATGCAAGAAGTTCCAAATATGACTTACTTCATTAAGGCTAATTTGGATTTTGCTCTACACCTTTTCCATATGTATTTCAGACCGTCAGTTTAATTTCAGAAAGCGTAAATTGCAATTTAGATTAGTAAATTGTATTTCGGAAAGCATCAATTGTATTTCAGATTATTTAATTTTATTTCGGAAAGAGTCAATTGTATTTCAGAAAGCATCAAATGTATTTCAGATTAGTTAATTTTATTTCGGAAAGCGTCAATTGTATTTTAGATTCGTTGATTGTATTTCAGAAAGCGTGAATTATATTTTAGAATTTGTCAGATGTAGTTCAGAAATCGTCAGTTGTATTTCAGATAATAATAATATAAGAACAGATTTTCCCAAGTCAACACAAGCAAGGTGTATAGGTGAACCATTATAAATTTCATTTAATACACTACATACACATTGATAAAATCTGAAATGCATTTGACGAATTCTGGAATACAATTTACAATTTCTGATCTACAAATAAATAATCTGAAACACAAATGACGTTTTCTGAAATACAAGTGTCCAAACTGAAATACAAATGACTTTTTCTGAACTACAACTTACAAAGTTGAAATACAAATAACACTTTCTGAAATTCAACTTACACAACTGGAATACAATTGACGTATTCTTAACTACAATTGATGAATCTGAAATACAAGTGATACATTCTGAAATACTTATGGAAAAGTTGTAGTTGGATTCCCTGGCTCTTGGGGTGATATTCTTGAAATGAAAATCCTGATCCTGAAGTTGAGCTATAAAATTCTTTAGCACCTCAATATCAGTGGTAAACCTGCTTCAACGTCAAACGCTGACTTATCCTAAGAAAATAGAACCAACAACAAATCTAGTCTTTCTTGTGGAAACTATTGTTGATAACAGATCACAATTATCATAAGTAGAATCTTTTTTCTTCTTTATTACTTCATCCATACTGGCTTCTGACGAAACTTGAGGAGAGGTGGTTGTCGGAAGGAGTTTCTAGTGTCTTTACAACGATGTCGTATTTTTTCATCATTGTTGGATGAAACACATCTAATTTCTCTACAGTACACTTCAATTCTCTGATAAATAAAAAATAAAAAATGAGCTCCAAGATTTTGTTCAGATGGCTGAGCAGCTGCCTAGCTAGTTCACAGCCCATCTGGATGTAAAGTCCTCAAGGATGATCTTTTTGATCATCTGAGTCAATCACAAATTTGGCGCCCGAGCAGGGACTGTTTAGAATTGAAGTAGGGAGTTCTCTGACCGTATCCCCAACCTTGTGAAGTTCACTGATTTTTTTTTCCTGTTTTCATTGTGGTTTTCTTCTCAATCATTACTCCCCTGCCGTCCCCGTCAATCAAATCTCCGATCGGCTGCTTCTCAATCAACCAACCCCTAGCTGGTGTAACAACACCCCCTGCGTTATCGACCGCTAATTTTTTAGCGAAAACAAGGCACTGGAATATCCATTTTTCTGGGCGAGGAGACCCCACTGCTTTTTTGGAGCGACTATAAGAAATCTGTGTCACACAACAAGTACATCGCGACAGTTTGCTACAGGTTCTCCCTGAACTACTCCAGGAAGAAGCCGCTCTGTGGTTCCGAAATAACCGACATTATTGGCAAAGCTGGGATGAGTTCATCCCAGCATTCCGCACTTGTTATTTGAAGCGAAAATTAGCCGTCGACTTCAGCGTCCTAGGGAGTTTGCGGTAGCTTACGTTACAGACCATAATTAGGAGGCATGGTGGAATTTTCCCAATCCAGGAACTCCAGTGGCTATACCGCAACTTGCGTCCCAAATAATGACATTACATTACATGCGCCGATTCGACTTCTACGATATTCAATCGTTTTCAAAAATTGTGCGAGAATATGAGCTACTACACCCAGGAGCTGAACGCTCTTGAGGAATCCCGGCGAAATTCGGTCCTTCGTAATCCTGTTTCCACAGACCGACCCCCTCAACTGTCCAACCCAGTTAGCCGGCCTTACTCCCTTAGTCCGAGTACCGAATGTAAACACCGCACCCCGACAAGCCACCATAGATGTTGGTAATGTGAAACTGTTTTGCTCTCGTTGTGGAACTGAAGGGGTGCTATCCTGAGACTGCCGCTGTACCGCGGGAAATTAGATCGGCGCCGTACTACTACGAGACCAGTACAGAGTTCTGACCTTGTCCCACCAATCCCAGAGCCTCCGAAACCGTGTGAGACGAGAGTCAAGAGGTAAAAAGATCGTAAAAACTATTCAAGAGAAAGTTCATTGGCTGTTTAGAATATTTCCAACCCTCAAAATAATCACACGATAGCTAAGTACAAATATTTTCCAATCATAAATCTGGTCTTATTTCAGACTTTGCCTTGCAGGAATGAATCCGATTAAGATTATGAAGTGTTTATTTTGATTCCGTTCGACTTTTTAAATTGCTCTCCATTTGCGCCAAGCTATTTCGGTTCAAGACCAATAAACACATCACTGAGACGCGATATTTAAATAAATAGCTTTTTACTTAGATGGGCCAGACTTTTCAGGTTTTCCAAGAGACGTTAAAAATCGAGAGAATTCTTTCATTTTTTACTTTAAGTTACAAGAGGTAATTCATGTGTCGTTGAATCATTGGGTTTTTCCGCATCAATGAAGGTCTACTTAGTTCAATTTTGGGAGTTTTTGAACATTTTATTGGTATAAAACGAGCAAATTTTGTCGAAAATACAATGTAAATACCTAGATCATGAAAATCACTTACCCGTCATCAGGATCGCAGTCTCTAAAACCCTTGGCGAAGGGATTGCTGGCTATTTTCAGCTGCGTTATCTGAAAAATATTGAGATAATGTTAATTGGGTACAAGAAAGTGCGTTGAGCTATTAAATCCCACCTGGGTGATCCTCAACTTAAATTTATAGGTTTTCAGGCAAGATTTAGTTTGAACACGTGCTATTATTTTCTTACCCTGTGATTCTGATAGGCCGTGACTGCAGTGAACGATGTCTCGGGAAATACGAAAGTTTTGAAATTTTCATTGCTATTCTCTTCGGAGTTTGGAGTGTTTTTTGGAGGCAAATACACCACGTGGAACCTTGGCTGATAGCGGTGCATTGAATTTAGAATAATCTGCAAAAATAATAAATTATTTGAGTCGTGGCATGTGTAGTTAACATAGATTTTTCCAAATTATCAAGTTACTGAGTACTTGAGACAATATATTTTGTTTTTATCAATATCTATTAATGTTTTCCAGCACTTAAATTCCTCTCATACACGATGATAAACCTAAAATGGTACTTACGTGGCCATTATCGTCCAATTGATTATTAGTTAATTTCAATTTATCGAACGACACTGTTTGTTTCATCCATTGAGCTCCAGTGGCAGGACTGTCAGGGTGGACGTGGATTCTTGGCGGTGACACTGGATCTGCTTTACCAGCTACCACCCAACTAGAACTAAAAGAGATTTAAATTGCATTTCAAATGAAAACAATAGTTATTTTCAATTTTTACCTGTGAAATGCGTATCGGTATCTTTTATCGTCCACCGGCACGAAATCCATCATTAGCATGTACTCAGAATGTAAGTCCAGGCCACAAAGTTTCACTTGAAAAGTGGGAAACATTCTTCTTCCAGCCTTTGTTACAATCATTTCGGTTCCTAGCGAGTAGAATTCATCCCAGAGATGTTTCATTTCTAAGATGGCGCTGGCGTTGGAAAGAGCTGGTGACGTAGCTGCGGATATACTAGAAAGAAAAATTGAAAATCGTCTTATTAAGTTAATCTCTTATAGCGTTCGACTCCTCACCTGTGATTTTTGTTATGTGTATTATTCCTATTGTTATTTTCTGGCCTCTCATTTTCTTGTTCCAATGATAAGGCATCTGCTTGATCTAAAGGAGAGTACGCCTTCCTGTCTTTTCCTGCGCTTTGCAGACAAGCTAGAAAGAATTTATAAACATTCTATTGTAGTTACCTATTCTGTAAGTATGTATAAGACATTTTCTAAATGGGTTATGGAAAAGAAGAAAGACCAAAATAGAAGCAAGCGGGAGCAATGGGAGCATTCATAGAGTCCACTAGAAAAGTATTTCAAGTCCATTTCAACATTCACAGTTAAACTGGCTAAGTTCTAAATATGATTGATTATCTTGTTGACTGTGAAAAATACTGAGGCTCGATTTATTCACCTTTTAATAAACTGTGAGGTAATTCAATCTGATGAATAAAAACGTAATTTATTGGTCCAATTGGTAAATTTATCTTGTAGACGGTTACCAGTAAGTTTTTACGAAGTTGTTTAAGCCAGGCCTTAGTTGAATGAAGGGAGGACAAAGGATAAAATAGAAAAGTTAATCCACATCTGATAGACCTTATATACACTCAAAAAAAAACACAGTTTTATTTACAGTCCACCAAACAACACAATCTTCTATACTTGCTTTCGGGTAGCACTGTATTCTGTCTCAATTTATCCTATAAATTAAAGATAGATAGATTCACAAGTAAGAGAGTTGAAAAAATAATGGAGGCTACACATACACATGACATCAAAGTGAGGCAACTAAAGACAACATTATGTACAAAGGATGTGCGGCCTAGATCAATCGTTTGTTAAGTTCTTGTTACTTAACAGAAACCTTAGATTGTGTCAATGTCAATATGATATTGTTTACACACGATATTGATCTAGCCTACGGAATAAATAGGTGAAACCCCCAAAAAAAAAACCGCAAAAACAGGAAAGTTAAAAACAAGAAAAGTTAGAGAAAAGGGATCGGGAAAAAAATAACGTAGAAACAAACAAAAATTAGAAATATAATAATTAAGTCATTTTTGTACTTCAAAATTCCCGATTTGTCGTTTTCCGGCGACAGTTTCCGACGGATAATTTCGTTCTAATTGTCAAGAGTAGCGGGCGTCTATACCAAAGCGACGCCAACCGTCGGGACGCTTTTCGAAAAACGTAAATCAAGCGGTCTCATTAGTTAAGCATATAAGCGCATTTGTAGCACTCGATTTGATTTATTTCGACCGCGAAACGAATTTATGGGCGATAAAATTGACGCAGATGACTTAGTACTCGGACTTTTCGGTAGTACCGACAAAAGAATGGAATAGGAAAGGAACTTACCTTCGATTTGTTTCATAGGAGTCACAGCTGGAGTGGTGTAAGTCCAATTATCGTTTGCACCGTAACTGAATTGCGAATGGTACGACACTGAGGTATTGTCCATGGGCGCACTTATACCGTTTTGTTGTTGGTGATGCATTTTAAGTCACTGAACTAACAGAAATTGGACAATATTTCTCTGACGGTCTAAAAATCTGGAAAAAAAAAATTGGAAATAATTGGGTGTTTTTGTCATAATGTATTCCTAAAATAAACATCAATTCAAAATTTCTTAAGTCAGGTCAGTAGTCTTCTATTAATTATTAGCATTGTCGAGCCAGTATAGTGATGATAGGTCTCAAGCCAACTGGAAAGCCAAGTAAGTTGTAAATTTTATATCATTTTCCTGTGCGATGATGTGCAGGAATTGACGTGGCGTTGAAAAGCGACTGTTGCCGATTTCTTTGAACCTGTTTAATCAACTTCCCGTTTTTGATTCATTCCAGCTCTGGATGATTTATGCTTTAGGGAATTCCTGAATATTTTTGATATGAATCGCGGAAAATGGACGATAACAAGTTGACAGAATAAGATACCACCCTATTTACTAAATTTTTTTGAATATTCAGCATTTTAGTTTTTGTGTTAGTAGAATAATAATTGCAGTTTTCGTGTAAAATAGGTATTTTTGTGCCAAAATTTGCCATTACATTACAAAGAGGTGATTTTCAGTTTGTTTATTTAACTGTAATTTTATAAATCCCTGAAAGAACTTACAAGCTTACTTTTTTTTGGCATGCGGATAGAATTTAGAAACACTGTTAACAATTTCTCAATACTAGGCCTGATACTAGCCAATTCTGGATATCACCAGACAGTAATGATATCAAAATAGGAAATAGACTACTTCCTATGCTTAAGAATAATAACTCAGAATAGTGAATGTGTTTCAGTTATTGACAAATTCGCCAGAGGCAGTGATAATACGGCTAAAAATCAAACTCCAGCCCAAGTTTGAACGAAAAAATTTATTCGACAAAAAGCTGAGGCTTGACTTCCATCCATTAGGAACTAGTGAACAAGAATTTCGAAGTTTACAGGAAAAGTGCATGAAACATGCTGGATGTTTCATTTATATATCGGCCTAAACTGCAATCCAGTGTAGAAGAGAACCTGAAACTTATAAAGGTTATAGTACAAGCCTGTAACACTGGTATATCTACTTTCATTTTTGGAGATTTCAACTACCTACATAGAGATCAACTGAAAAATATTAACAGTCAATTCCTCAAATTCATGTAGCTCAAATTTCATAGCTGCCTACAAAGAAGTCAATGCCTTTCAACTTATAAATTTTCCTACCAGAATAAGAAGAAATGAACAGTCTCTACTTGATCTGCTATTAGTCAGTGATGAGAAGCTTGCTTTTGATCCTACCACAGCATCCACCAATTGCACTAAGTAACCATGTAGTCATAACAGCCAAATCCCAAATCCAGCTTACTCCAATACCAACAAATAAAATAACTAACATTAACACACATCTACAGCAAGAATTCTCCAGCATCATTGTTAACTAGGAGCGGATCATGGACATTCTATCATGCACAATCAGCTCCTTCATTCCATTCAAACTGAAAATTGTCAACCCCCAGAAGTCTTGGCTAGCCCAAAAATTTTTCAAACACATTGAAAAAAAGAGAAGTTTGTGGCACAAGAAATTGAAAAGCAACTCTGAAAATGACAACTACAAAAATAAAGCTTCCTCAAAGCCCAAATAAAAGGTTCTAGAAGGAAATATGAACAAGAAGCTAGCCTCTTCTGATAAGCAGTTTTATTCCTACATAAACAGTTCTCTTGGTTCAAGACTTACACATTTCTCATTCAGATATGTAACCACTAACTGCACCCTTAATGATGATAAAGAAGTTGCCAAATAGTTTCAGAGTATTTTTACAAGAGAACATTTAAGTCACATGCCCAGCTTGGAACCTGATACATTCTGTGCTAATTCACTTGAAATTATTACTTTTACACTCGAGAAATTTGAGACTGCACTCAAATCACTGAAGCCAGGTGTCATTTTCCTGAACAAGTGTGCTGCAGCTCTGTCACATCCTCTCTCAGCTATGATGAACAATCATCTTAGGCAAAGTAAACTACCAAGCAAATGGAAGAATGCAGTTGTAGTCCCTATTTATAAGAAATGCAACAAACACCTGCCTAAGAACTATAGGCCCATTAACTTAACAAGCACCCTTTACAAATAAATCTGAAAGTCAGTATCTGAGATGACTGGATTTTTGCACATCTCACTTGCCCAATACGGGTTCCTTCCTGGAGAGTCTACTCCCACGAATCTGCTTACCAAGGTTCATCATTGAACAAGGGCAGATGACTCTGGCCAGTCTGTTGATGTATTTTAACTGAATTTTGGAAAGGCAAAGTGGCGCCTTCATCAACTCTATCACAGTCGTATTTCTTTTTTTTTTTTTTTCTTCAGATTTCTAGATTTTTCCTTCATATTTTTTTAAGTTTATTTCACCATCACTGTTGGGTTTTTGTTACCTGATATCTTATCTTATCTACCTTTAAAATATAAATATTATATTTCAATTTTTTATCTATTGTGAACCTCCATTTTGTTTAGTACCATATTTTTCTGAGGAGAGTCAATCCAAAGTTTTGAATGATAAATAGGTATTGCTGCTTTGGTATTTGGATTTATTTGTTAGTGTAGGATTATTGGACCATTATCTCTAGATAGAGATTATTATACCATAGGTATAAAGACTTCTGCTCAACCTAATCCAAGATTTTTTGCAGGATTGGCAGTTCTGTGTCCATGAAGCCAATTTCCTGTGAAGTTTTTAGCAGTGTCCCCCAAGGCTCTGTCCTTGGCCCTCTACTTTTCCTTGTATATCTTAGGGACCTGCCAAATGGTTTCAGGAGTCAGATTACGTCATTTGCTTTTGATATAGTAATCCTGTAACGCAGAATGGAAGGCTCCAGATGCCATTGAACAGTAGACAACCACCTGGCAAATGCCACTCAATAATTCCAAGTGTTCAATTCTTCACGTGGCCAAAAACATTCTCAGGTTGCAATATGTACTTCATTCGGTCTACCCAGGTAATCTGTGTTGCTGAACAAAATTATCTGGGAATGGTTGCCTTTGAAGACACGAGGTAGGAAAACCATATCAATGGCATCATAAAGAATTCAAACTCCATCATGTACCTGATTTCCAAGCTATTTAAAGATCTCATATCCCAAATGTTTGTAAAGCGGTACAAGGCTTACATAAGACCCAGGCTGGAGTGTGCCCAAAGCATAATATAGAGTCCCTATTATATCACGGACATTGAAGTACTTGAAAAACTCCAACGCAGGGTAACAAAAATTCCCTCAGTTCTTCGTGACCTTCCATACCAACAAAGGTTGCAGAGGCTGAACCTCCCCACACTTCATGAGGCACGAACGCGTGGGGATCTAGTGGAGACATTCAAAATGACACTAAAAATAAACACTTGAAGTGCCAGTTAAATGTGACCGAGTTCAGTGATAGCCAGCATCTAAGGGGTCTTAACAAAAAACTCTATAAGGACAGGTGTGACAGTGAAATGGCTCAATGGACAAAATCATTTATGCACTATACCAGACATTTTAACAGTGCTAGGATAGTAACCGACTCAATACAATAGTTTCATCGGCTTATTTTTACCGCTCACTATTGTTGACTAATAATAATAATAATAATACTAATAATAAAAAAAGGGCTCAAAGGGGTAGGATCCACCGCTCCTACTGAATTCCTACTTGCACCTCCTAGCTTGGTGGGCCCCGGTAACTTTCGCTTCTTATCTTTGAGATCGGGCAACCAACCCCGATGGAAAGGATTTGGATCAAAGGCTAACGCAAGAGGAAGAAACAACCACATTTACTAGGCAGCAACCTGGGAAATGTGAGAATATAGGTAATGCTTACAAAAATAATAAAAATTTCTCTGAAAAAGCCCTCCTTGGTGATGGGACTACACCAATGGGAAGGACTGATCAGTCTCTAGCAAATGGAAGTGGAGTAAGTAGCGCTCCTTTGCGAAATGGTACTACAAGGTCTGGCACTAACACATTGGGTAGAAGAACAAGATAAATAAGAAAAAGAGAAGATACCGCAACCAAGGAAGACCAAATATTTATAAGATCGAAAACAATTGGTGACGGAAGTTGCCTCTTTAGAGCGGTCAGCCTGTACCTGGATCTCAGGACACCCACGCCCAACTTAGGGAAAAGGCCGTGAAATACGTACACCGGAACTGGGACAAGGTTCAAGAATTCATATTGGTCCACGATGAAAATCTTAGAAATAGGATTCAATACTGTACTTACATGAGTAAAGGAACGACTTATGGAACAAGTTTAGAAATACTAGCTTTATCAAGAAATATACAAACTAACATTCTGTATATACTCATCAGAAAACAGGCCTAGCAATCTAGAATTCTGCTCAAGTAGTCAGCCTACCAGGATCTCCAAAAGAAATTATAAAAAGAGTATCTACCTTTTATTGCAAGGAGATCCAGAGAATGGGCATTTTGAACTTTCAAATCCGGTAGAGGCCCCTACTATTAGCCTTCCGATACTTGGAAACCCTAAGAGCGCAGTCCCAGCAATAATATCCTCAGAAACAACGAGCGGATAGTACCCAAACGCAGAAGACACAGTCTGAAAATGACCTATCTGATGGACAAAAATGGACGACTGAACAATATCTAGAAGTCATGCGGTGCTATTATAAGGCGGAACAAAATAAAACTGCGACGGTGGAATCACTAAAGGAACATACACAATATGGAGAGAAAGAAACCCAGATATATTTCCTAATTTGGACCCATTGACATTAGCAAACCAAAGGAGATTTAGACTCAGAGAGCGCAAGGTACCTGAAACACAACTAAAACTATTACGAGAAAGTATAGGCAGAAAAGTTAACGGTAATGGAAGAGCTTTGGAGAATGATGAAATAGTTGAATCTGTGCAATCGGAAGGTGAAATTAGAAATATGATCTCAAACAAGGAAAGGAACATAGGAGATAGCCATAGCGAGGGAAGCATTGATAATGAATTAAAACACATGAAAGAGAACATAAGAACAAAGCTGCTTGACGCCTTAAAGAAAGCACATAATTTGAAAAAAAGGACGAGGCTAAAAAAAATTAACGTAAACAGGACAACTCTTAAGAGAACTTCGTTGGCAGATAAAGTATTAGGAATTATAATAAAAGAACGAAGGGAATGGACCTTATCAGAGTTTAATGAACTAATTTATACAGCAGCATCTGTGGTAGCTGGTGAAAATGAAAGAAAAAGTCCATACAGATCGAATCTGTGTGAACCGAGGTGGAAAATAAGAATACGAAAATGCATTGAGTCTTATCGCAGTGAATTGGCTATTTTATATGAATTTAAAAATGACGTACCTACCCGAAAGGTGCTTTCCAAAGTTGACGGAATTTGCAAAAAGTATAAAATTGACGAAACAATCGAAGAACTGGAATTAAAAGTAAAAATGAAATTACTTGACAAAAGTCAACGGTTACGCAGATATTCAAAAAGGGCTGATCATTACTACCAAAATAAAATTTTCAATGAAGACCCGAAAAAGTTCTACTGAAGCATAAATAATAAAACGGATATTGTGAAAGATCCACCCAGCCAAAAAAAAGTTGAAGAATTTTGGAGAGGGATTCTAGAAAATGAAATAAGACATAACAAAAAAGCCAAGTGGATAGAAGAAGGAAAATCTTTCAGAAGAAATATAAACAGTGATGAAATAGTAGATACCATTAAAAAAACCCACAACTGGAAAGGCCCTGGCCCAGACCAAATCCAGAACTTCTGGCTAAAACATTTTACCTCTACTCATCAGCAATTAACAGCGGTTAATAATAATGTAATAAAAGAACCTCGGACAATCCCGAAATGGCTAACTTGTGGAAATACCTATTGGATAGCTAAGAATAAAGACACAAAAGACCCATAAAATTACCGCCCAATCACACCATGTACAAACTCGTCACCTCAGCAATCACCAACAGAATTAACGATCACTTAGCAAAATACAAACTACTCGCTGAAGAACAGAAGGGCTGCTGTAGAGGAGCGAGGGGATGCAAAGACCAACTACTGATAAACAAAATGATCATCATGACGACTAAAAAGAAGAAGAAGAACCTTAGAATGGCCTGGATTGGCTATAAAAAGGCGTACGATAGTTTACCCTATGATAGAAAATAAACGCATCGATGAACTTCGAGGCAAACCTCTACATGGACAATTCTTCAAACAACTAGAAAGACCGGTAGTTAATAAAAATGCAGGTATAGCTTAGTTAAAGAGTGCATGTTTGAAAGGGGAAACAGAAAGTCTTATAATTGCCGCTTAAGATCAGGCCTTGAATACGAGATATCTGCAAAAAAAACATCTTCAGGGATGCTCGACATTAGCACCGTCAGAATATACACATAGGCACAATAAAGTTATTATTATTATATTCACTGGGTTATATTTAACTATTATAAATTTAATGTTACAGAGAAATATTACCAACACACCCCTGAACAAGTTGGTAACATTAAATAATGATCTTGACATCACAATATTATATGATGTTCCTATCAATACTGACCGAAGCATTAAGGCAAACTGACCTGATATTGTAATCCATGATAAGAAGTCTAGATCATGCCAATTAATAAATGTTGCATGTTGCAGTACCTGACGACATGAATATTGCAGTCAAAGAAATTGAAAAACTAAGTACCTAAATACAAAGATTTGGAAATTGAAATATCTTGAATGTGGAATGTCAAAACAAGGGTGGTTCCTATAGTGATTGGAGCATTAGGTACCATCACAAAAGAAGTGGAGCAGAGAACCAGGTCATCCATCATCTATGAAGCTACAAAAAATTGCTCTCTTAGGCACTGCACACATCCTAAGAAAAGTGTTACGATAAACTGATAGGTTACTTTGAACTCTTGTTGAGCTCTGAACCTATCACGAGATACCGATTTTCATCGAGAAATTGAGAATAATAAGAATAACCCGTGGTGGTTCGCCAGGTCCCCTATCGGGCGCGGCCCCTCTGCGAATGGGAGATGCTTACTCATGATGAGATTGTAGTGAAGAAATAAAATACCCACCGTGGAACAAAATCTGGCACCTGAGAAGATGGAAGGAAGAATCAATACAGCCTCGGAAAAGAACGACGTGAACGGGTTTAGGAACAATTCACCTGACAGCGCGTCCGGCATGAGAATTGAGACATGTCAGGTCGTTATCGTGCGAAGCCCTCACACAAAAAACAGCGTAACCGGTTTCAGAAACAACCCACCTGGCACCGCGTCGTGCAAGAAACTTGTAACATCTCATGTCCAAGTGCCTCACTCAACATTCCACTGCTACAACCAGAGCAAGACAATCAATAACCTACCAAGGTAGGTAATTGAAATCAGAGGCGATGGAAATTGCCTGTTCCGCGCAGTTAGTCAACATCTGCATAATACGCAGGATTACTACACAGAACTGAGAGCAGGTACAGTGATCTACATAGAAGAAAACTGGAGTGAACTTGAACCATATATTGTGACCACAGATCCAGCACTCAAAAGTAGGAGAAGCTATTGCTACAAGATGAGACAAACTGGCACATATGGAACAAGCGTTTCGAGCAATGTCTGAAATATACAAAGTAAACTTCAACATCTTTGTAGAGGTGAAGCGACCCGACACTAACCAGTATCTCACAAACAAAAGGCCTACTATGATCAGTAAAGATACTCACAACGAAATCAACCGAATATTGATTGGAGGCCTTGAAGAAGGGCATTTTGAAGTTCTTGAACCTACACACAAGGAAAATAAAATTAAAGAAGGAAACACGGCAAATAAAGAACATAACAAACCCCAAAGGCATGGAAAACTAACTCCAACTACACAAAAGAACAACTAGAACAAACCCAACAAAACAAGAATAGAGTTAAATCGACGACAGAAGAATATAACTTTCAAGATCAAGACCTTATCCAGGATCAGAAAATCTCCTAACTTCAGCAATCAAATAATATTTGGCCTTTGCAAACCTTAACTGTTGCATGAATTTGCTGGGAAGCGAGGCCTTCATAGCTGCTATGAGAATTGCAGTTTTTCTCCAATACAGGGTGTTTTCTAATTGAATGTCAATATTTAGGAAGGCGAGATTTGTATTTATTTTAGGGAGAAAAGCAACTCGAATAAATTTAATTAAGTATAATCGGTGCATTATAGGATTTAACTCATAGAATTTTGAAATGACTTGAAGCCATATTTTAGTTAATAAATGCCTGATTATTCTACTTCTAAGTAAAAACTATCACAATGTTGTCTGTTTGGAACCAATTCCCATTATTATTATTTATTTTGAAAAAAAAAATAGGTTAATAATTGTTGCATTGTTGGAAAGGACTGCTCAACACACCTATGAGATGTGTCTATTGAGGAAAGATTTTGATAAATTAACAAAACTGAAAAAACCTAATATGAATTTTTAAAATAGCAATGAAAATGCATGCTATAATTACTGTTTCCTGGAGCTGTGATATTAGGCATAAATTCTGCGTAATAATCGAAATTTCATTTTCTACCTTGTCAAGAAAGGTGCAGCTAATTAGCATTTGGACCATGTTTATGCTTCTAAATCCAGTGTAAGTTGAAAGTGAGGCATTTGCAAAATGAAAGTTTTTTTTTAAAAAATAATTAAAATCTCGGAACAGGTACAAATTCAATCGTTCTCCATAATTTCAAATCAAAAACCGAAAAACGAAATAATACAAAAATAACACAATAACACTGAAATATTTACATACCTTTCTTCCAATCCGTCCAAAATCTAAATCATCAAAACTATCAATTATATATTTTACAAGTCCAAGTGCATCTCGGTAGAGCGCGAAAAACTAATCACCAGGTTGACATCAGCTTTTCGTTAACGCACGACCGCGAACGAAAAGAACGACTTTACCGCACCCGCCTTATAGGAAAAATACTTCGGAAGGTTTTCACGCTTTGCCTGATTTTAATGAAGTACGTTGACGGACCGAAAGTTTTCACACATGTTGTCAACGTAGTTGGCCATGACAGTGTCTTTTTGGACGTGCCAGGGATGGTACTCTCTTGCACTCTATCCCCTCTCGATATCCAGATTATTATACCCATCCCTCTTCAATTTTGGATAACTGACAAGGAAGACGAAGGTGGCTTAAGTCAGTAAGTGGGTGGAGTCTGGCCGATTTTCAGCTGGCTGGTACAGTCCGGGATTAGTCGGGAGGCTGGGTCCTACGGGATAATCAGGTAGCGAAATTTTGAAGTGGTGCCAGTGGATTTTTGCCATCGATTCGTTAATGATCTTTAAAGAAATATTCGATGACATGTGGCTATGTGGTATGCGTGATGTAATTTAGGATGATTTGCAAGTACATCATCCACTTTTGTAGATCTAATCTAATTGATTCAATGTTTTCAAATTTGAAACGCAGTTTTTATCGATTTTGATGGGTTTTACGATCATTTACTTTTTTGTAAGTTTCCGAATAACGAATTTAATCTTACAACGAAATACAGGGTGTCCGGAAAGTCAACGATAATACTGAAAGGGCTGATGGAGCAACTCATTAGCATCCAGAAAAACATAATATGACCTTAGTAAAAAATTGATGGTTTCCGAGATATTGTCACTTTAATAAAATTCGTTAAAATCGTTCTCTTGGATTAGATTTTTGAGTGTCACCTTAAAATTTCCATTATTCTCAGATTTTGAAGTATACTTCACTTTAAAAAGCTTCTTTTAGTAAATGTTTTGAACTTTGACTTTTAATGTTGGTCTATTACAAGAAATGTTTATTCACCATTGCAAAATTGAATTCAGAATTTAAAAATAATGAAAATTTTGAAGTGACACTCAAAAATCTGATCCAAGAGGACGATTTTAACGAATTTTTTCAAAGTGACAATATCTCGGAAACCATCAATTTTTTGCTAAGGTCATATTATATTTTTCTGGATACTAATGAGTTGCTCCATCAACTCTTTCAGTATTATCGTTGACTTTCCGGACACCCTGTATGTGTTGTGATACGAATGATTTAAATGGTGTTGTTTAGTATTTTCTCTTGTAATTATTTATAAGGTATGCCTACACACAAATACTAACAATTCTTCATCCTTTTATTGCGTGGTTGGGTTTTTTTGCATTCTGATGTATTTACCTATTTAATTTTTACAAATTAGTGATATTCATTTATGTAGAAATCCGAATTTAACTCGTTTTTTTTTTTGGTGGACATTTTGTGAAACCTTAATTTTTGAGTCAAACAATTATAGATTAATTCTTATCTAATAATAAGTACCTAAGTATTGAGAGTTCACTTACAAAAATACAAAAAATTGACTCTTATCAACATTATCTATGGAAAATTTCTACTCTGTGAGTGCGTCACGTATTTCCATTTGGTTTTTTTCTGTATCTATTCCAAGTTATCTGAACTTTCAACTATAAGATTTACATCACAACAGGGAATTTCGTCAGTCATACTTAGACTGTCAGATAGTGACATATTTAGGTGCCCCATTTTCGCATACAAGCCTCAAAGAGGGTTGAAAAGTACATTGATTTTGAGTAGCTTGAAGGTGTTTTTACGAGCTCCTGGGGATAACATATGGAAAATTCGATTTTACTTATGTAACCCTTAAATCTACTTTTCCATTAGTGACACTCAAGAAAATATGTTTTCCTGCTATCGAAGTTGTAGATTTTTATCCTTCCGATAGACTTGTGTGGAAAAATCGCTCAAAATCTCGATTTTTCCTTACAAAGTTTCGCCCTTGTTTCAAACCTTTAACCACCTGAAACACCCCCTTATTTTTTTTCACGAAGCCAGGTTTTATTAATTGATCCTTTGGTGAACTCGGCTTGTGAGAAAATATGGGCACTAGGACGTCTTTCATTTCTGTTACGGAAAATGGAATTTTCCATACGTTATCCCCAGGAGCCATTCGTAAAAATACCTTCATCCTATTCAAAATCGATGTACTTTTCAACCCTCTTCGAGGCTTGTATGCGGAAATGGGGCACCTAAATATGTCACTATCTGACGGTCTAACTGTCCATCGTATATCTTATATGTATATTACGTCATCATTTCAGTCTGAGAAATGGCAGATTACGTCACTTGTTGGTTGACGTAACATTACCGGATTCCTGTCAGAGAAAACGTGAGAATTGACAATAAATGGAATCTGGACTGCTTTCATATAAACATCGTCTTATTGGAATATAGTATTTATTTTCAAGCGGTCTATAATCTGAACTCTATTGTCGTCAACACTTGACAAAGAAGTGATCCATTATGTTCCTGGGACTATAACTAACTATTTTGTAACTTTTTTTTCCTCCCATGAATTCAACAAGAAGAAAATTACCTTGTCGAATGTCGTTCACATGCCGAGAATGTGCTTTTCTTCCGAAATACACACAGATAGGTACCTACTTATTATTTTTTCTGGGATCGCTCAGTATTGCAAAAAAAATGGGAAATGTTTTTGAAATAATGAGAAATGATATTTGGTATTTTCATATAAGTATTATTAGTTAAATATTAAATATAATAGATTTTAGAAATACCAGTGTTATATCTACAAAAATACTTCAAAATGTTGTGTTGTTCCTAATCAGAGCAATACGACGGAAGTCACATTCCCAAACTAACATAATAACTTACCTTATCTAAAAATAGTCCATTCCTAAGTTCAATGAAGTCATAAAATATAAGTTATTGACCAAGAAACACAATTACCAACATAACGAACTCAGACAAGTATATAATAAGAATAGAAAAACGAACATGACTAAAAAGTAACATACTAATTACAATTAACAATCTGTAGATTGGCTAAACATACAAGACATTTTTCATCTTTTAGAACAAATCTATATCACCCGTCTTTATCACATCGTTAGCCATTCTATACATTCTAGTCAATGATGAATTCATACCATAATTGGTCCTATGGAAACTAACATTAAAAATATCCCTTTCCCTAGTGTTAATCGCAGTTACATGAATGCCATCCTTATCGGCAAGGAGCTCTGTAGAATCTATAAGTTTCATGATTTCAATGCAGTCAATTTTCTCAAAAGGGATATGCAGTTTCAGCCCAATTCCCCTAAGAAATCTGCGTTGGAATCTCTCTAACTTCTCACAATGGACCACATAATGAGGATGCCATAATATGTAAGTAAAATACTCTAAAACTGAGCGTACCAGTGCACAATACATTTCTTTGAAAACAAAGAGAGCAGGGTCCGATTAGCTAGACATCCAGATCTGTGCCTAGAGTCTTTAGCAAAGTCTGTCTCTCAAGTTCAGCTGAGTCCAAGGAATAATTGAACAGAAATGGATTCCTCGATCGATCTTCTAAAGTAAATGACCTTGCATTTATTAGCATTCAGTTTGTTCCTCTTACATCATAGAGTAAACCTACCAAGATCCCCCTGCAGCAACCTACAATTATCTTGTGTTTTGATGAACATGAAGGGCTTTAGATCATCACCGACAGCCGACACAGATACAAAAAACGTCCTTTACGTCATTAATGAAACAATTAACAGGAAAGCTGAAAGATGGCCACCCTGCAGTACACCCGATGTAACCATTATTACACGGCATTGTGTCATTTGCGCGACAGCCGTTTGCGCTAGGGAGAAAAGCGCGAGGGACAAAAGCGCGACGGAACAAAAACGCGACTGGACGAAAGCGCGATGGACAAAAACGCAATGGACAAAAGCGCGAGCAACAAAAGCGCGAGGGACAAAAGCGCGAGCAACAAAAGCGCGAGGGACAAAAGCGCGACGCAAAAAAAAGCGAGGGACAAAAGCGCGACAAAACAAAAACGCAACTGGACAGAAGCGCGATGGAAAAAAACGCGACTGGATAATATCGAGGGACAAAAATGCAAATGGATTTAAAGACAATATCAAACTTACCGATAATAACCCAGTCAATTTGCAATTTTAATCAGAAATTTCCAAACTTCCTCATAATAAATTGGTAAGTTTGTAATTTTTATCAGACATTTCTAAGCTTACCAATAATAACCCGGTTAGTTTGCAACTTTAATCAGACACTTCCAAATTTACCGATAATAACCCGGTTAGTTTTCAATTTAAATCATACATTTCCAAACTTACTCATAATAACGCGGTTACTTTGCCGTTTTATTCAGACATTTCCAAACTTACCAATAATAACCCGCGCGACTGAACTTTGGTCAGCCCCTTATTCCTGCCGGATTATTATCGGTGGGTTTGGTAATGTCTGGTTAAAATTGCAAACTATTTCAAACTAACTGGGTTATTATCGGTAAGTTTGGCAATGCCTGATTGAAATTGCCAACTTACCGGGTTATTATCGGTAAGTTTGGCAGTGTAGTGTCTGATTAAAACTGCCAACTAACCCAAACCAACCGGGTTATCAACGGTAATTTTGGTAATGTCTAATTAAAACTGTGAACTCCGGGTGATTATGGGTAAGTTTGGAAATGCCTGATAAAAATGGCAAACTAACCGGGTTATTATCGGTAAGTTTGGTAATGTCTGATTAAAACTGTAAACTCCGGGTTATTATGGGTATAAGTTTGAAAATGTCTGACTAAAATTGCAAACTAGCCGGGTTATTATGGGTAAGTTTGGAAATGTCTGATTAAAATTGAAAACCAACCGTGTTCATTTGCATTTTTGTTTCGTCGCGCTTTCGTTACTCGCACTTTTATCCAGTCGCGTTTTTTCCCATCGCGCTATATTCCAGTCGCGTTTTTGTTCCGTCGCGCTTTTGTTCTTCGCGCTTTCGTCTAGTTGTGTCTATATCCATCGCGCTTTATTCCAGTCCCGTTTTTGTTCCGTCGCGTATTTTTCTATCGCGCTTTTGTTCCTCGCGCTTTTGTCCAGTCGCGTCTTTCTCAATCGCGCTTTTGTCCAGGTGCGTTTTTGTCCATCGCGCTTTCGCCCTGTCGCGTTTTTGTTCCGTCGCGCTTTTGTCCCTCGCGCTTTTCGTATCGCGCTTTTCTCCCTTGCGCAAACG